TCATCTGCTAGAGAATTGGGGTGTGAAGACGACTTCCAGAAAATATCTTCTTTGACAAATCTGACCAAGCAAGCAGTTGGTGAGAGTCACTGTGCAGTTCACCGCTTAATTTCTGGAAATTCACCAACTTGGGCAAATTCTAATTTGCTTTCTGGTTTCACGGATTTGTATTTTCATCATCTCTCTCTCTCTCTCTCTCTCTCTCTCTCTCTCTCTCTCTCTCACACACACACACACACACAAATACACATGTTTCATCTAGAATGGAGAAGCAAAAGTTATTCTGAGGGAAAAAAAATCAAATGCACCGGCAAGGTTATTTAACAACGCTTTGCCAAGAAAGATAATCAACCTTTGCAGATTTATTTGGCTGTGGGATTTTCCATATTTTTGGAATAGGAAGGATACAGCTTGGTAATCTCGGAGCAGTTCAAATGTTGCCAAAGACTCAAGCTGGGATAAGTTCTTGCCTGCTCTGTGAAGGGGGTGTGGAGTTAGAGACAGGGTCTTAGTTCTGATGATGATGAATCAATTGTCTGGAGTAAAAGTGTGATTCAGAAGAGAGATCTTGTGAGCAAGCATGTGCTCTCAAGGGCCCCTCTCATCCTTTGGGACTCATAAGTGATGAGACTCACGTATGACATTTCTCTTTCCCGGCAGTCAGCCATGCCAATGGTTTGGACTGTTGGTCTCATTCTGTGTTGTTCAGAGCCATAGATATGGGAAAACACTGTGTTCTTGTCTGAACACCCATGTTTAAATCTCAGTCTGGTCAATTTCAAGGTTTTTGCCCCTTGAGCAATGCATACCTACTATAAATCTTTGTTTCCTCATTTATAAACTAGAAAGGAATCATTAGAAATGTTGAAAATGCATAGGGCAACTATGGGACCTCAAATACGTGTTGTAGGGTAGATAAGCCTTAGAAATGTCATGTATTTATGGATATACACCATAATAAAATGACTGTTATCATACCCATATTTAACAAAACACAGGCAAAAACTAGGGTGAAAGTACAGACCTCAGTGCCCTGATTCCAGAAGGGTTTCAGAGATTTTAATAATGGGATAGCACTGAACGGCACATATTTCTGAGGGCATTTGCATTTATATAAGCAGCAGGCGCTGTAAGTTATTGATGTTGGGTGCCATTGAGTCGAGTGTGACTCACAGCGACCCTATGAACAACGGATCTGATCAGGTACTGGAATTAGATACAGCAGTAAGGAGATACAATGATGTCCTTGTGTGTGTGTGTACATCACAGAGCAGAAACCTAGGAAAAACACTGCAACACTGCATGTATCTTTACATGATTGGATTCAAAGGAGAAGACTGAATATTTTAAAAATATTTTAATTTTAATATTCTGGGATAATTTGAATAGAGAAGACATAAACACCCTCAAATAAGTCTTCCAGTTGCTTTCTATTCTGTTTATATTAATTTTTACTACATTAAATCATCAACATTTAAGTTATTTCTTCATTGATTATGAAACTGTCATTTACGATGGCAATGTAAGAGTTGACAATGTCTGTCCCTTTTTTTTTTCTAGTTATGGATAACTGACCATGTCAAGGTCTTTTTTTTTTTGGTTTGTTTTACTTAAATTTATTATTAATTTCAGTAAAAATTTAGAGACTTTGGATTTCCATTCATTCATTGTTGCACTTTTCTCCCCTCCCAACCTTCCCACCAAGTACACTACCCTCTTGGAAAAGTAAAAGAAAAATTCTTTCATTGTTTTACAATCCCTCTCCCCAGGTCCACTCCACCATGCAGCCTTCTCTGGACTCCTGCCATGACAAAAATACCTAATCACATATCCCTTTTAAACAGTTTTCTCCCTCCTCTGTTTCAATGCAGTATACGTTATTGAACCCATCTTTCTCAGTCTCTCCCAACCCCAAGGTCAGTCCTGTTTTACAACAGTGGCACCATGCAGTATTTGTCCCTTTCTTCTTGATCTCTCTTAACTTCCCCAAAGAAGAAGAAGGTGCTGGGCCCCATGTACTAGGTGTCTGTCACACTCTCCCATACCTCAAGTCTCCATAGTTACAGCCAACTTGGCAGTAACTCACAATAACTGTAACTTTAAAGCTTCCAATTGCTTCCTTCTATTGCTTTGCGCTGGGTATCCTGGGAAATTCGGAGAGTCCCACTAGCATGACTGAAAGATTCAGATTGGCTCTCAGCCGTTGGGAAAGCTGTGAGGAGGACTAGGAGCCCTGCTGGCAGAGTGGGTTTAGTGCTAGGTTGCTAACAGAAAGTTTGGTAGTTCAAACCTACCAGCTGCTCTAGGGGAAAGCAATGAGGCCGTCAGCTCCTGCTACGATTTACAGCCTTGCAAAGTCTATGGGAAGTTCTCCTCTGGCCGACAGGGTGTCTATGAGTTGGAATCACCTTGATGGCAGTGAATCTTGGAGGTTTTTTGGGGGCCAGTCTGCTGCTCTGTATGCTAAGCTTTGGTTCCAATGATAAAATCAAGGCTGCAGGCTCCACTTGCATCTCTCTTACTGTGTTTATATAGGGAGGTGGGCGGATGACTGGGGTCTGGACTTGGATTGTTGTCTTCTGTCCATAAGAGATGATTAACATCATCACACCTACCCTTGGTGCTTAACACGCCCATGTTGAATTAATCATCCCCATTGTTCTGCCTTCCTTCCTAATCCTCCCCATTGTGAATAGTGCTGCGAGAATGTCTTTTCTGCATACAATTTTCTCTGTGTCGTAGATGAAAGTCTTAGGCTGCATTTTAGAAAACTAAATCACTGGTACTCATAAGGGTAAGAAATTTCCTGGCTCTTAATACATGACACCAAATTACCATCTAAAAGGAATGGACCAATTTATCCCAGTATTTATGAGAATGGCATTTTCCCTGAACCCACATCCACTTTTATTAAAAATGTAGGGAAAATAACATTGACATTTATTGAGTTCTCATCTTCTCGAACATTTTATTTCTCTAAATATAAGAGAGGCTTCTAAAAAAGCTTTTTTTTAGATTATAATTTTTCTTTATATCTTTTATTTCAGACATTCTCTAGACTAGTTCTAAAGAAAAGTTATAACTTTATTCTTTAGGGATATATATATTATTTTAAAATGGATAAAAAAGTAATTTTCAGAACTTAATATATTAGCTGTAGAATATAAAATGTTTAATCAATTTGGGTGATTTTTTTTAATTAAAAAGGAGATATAAAGTAGTAAACTAATTGACTTGTGGGAATTAGTAACTATTTTTGAAGACAACTTGAATCATTCAATTCTGTTGATCTGGGGTAATGTTAAATATATACTTGAAGTTTTCATTTTGTAATTCCTTGTAGGGAGAGACATACCACATTCAAACAACCACAGGCATTTACTGCCATCTAACTCTGAGATGTGAAGTCCATTATCAGACTTTGTGGGGAGAGAAAACATAGTTTTCATTTTTAAGTGTGTTCCATGCATATTTTGAGAAAATGTGCCTGGGTATACTATTTTAGACAGATGATACAGTAAATGGCATGGGGACAGTTAGATTCAGAGAAGGGACATTAGGTGATCCCCATTCTGCTGGACAATGACAAAGAAAGAAGGAGAGGACGGTAAAGACACAGCTGTGTGCGTTCCATTCCTCTGTCTGAGTCAACACACCAGAGGTCAGGTGGAGGAGAAAGAAAGAAGCAGCTGGAAGACGTGTAGATGCCAGCAGTTCACTGCTCAAACCTCCGAAAATTGATAGCATCCTTGAAAACTCTACATTTAACATGGTACTTAAACAAGATGACGCCAGTCACATGGTAGATTAGATTTAAGATGTCCAGGGCATAGGCTTAACAGTAGCCCAAGTTCTCCCTGTCTCACCTGGTTCAGTGAATAAGCAGAGGCTGGAAACCAGAATGGAGAGGGGTATGACCAGAGGCAAATACTGTGGACTGAGGAGACAGCATAGACCCCATTTTTTATAAAGCCCCATTTAATACCAGAAGCAGAAGCGAGTCATAAAAATTCTTAGCTTAAGGCAAACACAAATGCCCCGGGTAAAGTCTTATCCGTCCTTGCAAAGTAAAGAATTAACTAGTGTCTAGGTGACACAAAAAGAGTAGAGGTGGGAAAAGTAGCCAGCCTGTCAAAAGGCGACCCACATGACTGATCCCCCGACCCACCAACCATGATCTCAGTCTCCCTGCCCCAACAGTGGCACCCAGGAAAGCCATAAAAGCAATTATGAGGGGGGACTCGGGGCTTTTTCCCTCGCCACCTTCTGAAGGAGGGAGAAAGTCTCCACATGTGGAATAAAGTGCTTATTTGTATTTACAAATGTGTGGATTAATTCTTTTGAGGGGCATTTCGTGGGCAGAACATGGACCATGGCATATAAATACAAACAATAGCAAGGGATCTTCAAGAGATGAACATGGTGGTGGACACTAGCATGAACTCCAGACTAGAATAGCTGTCCAAATCAGGACCCAGTGGTATCCGCAGAGAACCATGGGGACCAGATGTCCTTCCTCTGCCACCATGACGTCTAGGAATGTTAGGACATTTGGGGTTTGCATATTTGACTCTAGTGGTTAAATGTTTAACCTAAACGTAGAGCATATTGGACACTCCAAGGGCAAAAGCCATGACAATTTGCATCACCAGATTGTTGTGTTGTACCACTGAGTTGGAAACCTCTGGTGGATTTTCAGAGGCAGTTAATTGCTCTGGAAGAGATGACCCATTCTTCTCCCATGGAGCAGCTGTGGGGATTCGAACTATGCAGCACAGCTTTTTACCAGTAGGGCACCAAAGCTCCCTTACAGTTTTGGAAACTGTCCACTGTCCTATTGGGTCCCTCTGATTAGGAATCAACTTGATGGTACACCAGGGACACGACTGGAATAAGTATAATTTTTTTAAAAAAGTGTAACTTTTCCCAAGGTGAATCTCTATCTATTAAAATGACTGTGATATGTAGTCCCATTTAAATGTGTTTATGGCTTGACTTACCTGATTCTCTTTGAGTGTTATCTGGCCCTGTTCCTTACAGCCAATAAAGGTTCTAACACATCTGTAAATCTTCTCATCCTGTTGTACTCTCTGAACAAAGTTGGCTGGAAAGAAGCCGATTCTGTCGTGGATTTTCCCCTGAAAGTAAAAGACAACACACATGCATGACTGTGGCAGTTATTATCATTAATAACTTTTTGTATAACTTTTTGTTTGTATAATTAAAATGACTTACTTTCCACCAGTCTTCGTTGGAATCTTCTAGAAGAGTAATCATGTCTCCCGGCCTAAAATGGAGAATGGATGAGTTGAGTGGAGATGTGGAGGGAGGAAAAGAATAAGATACTTAAAAGCTAGAAGTAGTGGTTTTTCATTTAGTCAGATAATTTTAAATAAAATTATAAAATTTAAGTACAGATGCACCCCATTCATGAAAGCAGCCTTATCAATACACTGGGAGTAAGCACAATTTTGGGGCTGCATTTAAAACATAAGTTTAGCTTTATTTTTTATGCACAAGACTTTGTAGTAACATTGTTTAAAATACAAATATTTTTGAGTCTGTGAATTTCATGGTCCAGGTCTTCCATCATATTCTGCCCAGAGAGGATGACAGCTGGGGAACTTGTGTGTCTTGTTCGAGTCTTCGCTATCCACTTATATGGAGACATGTATATGTATTTTGGTTATTTCTTTTGTGAACTACTGACCTCTGTTGTTGTGCACTGTGGAGTCAGAAATGCCCCATAGCTGACTCTTTGGTGGGTTTTCAGAGGCAGTTAATTGGACGGCAGGATATTGCCCGTCCTTCTTCCACGGAGTGGCTGGCAGATTCGACCCATGCACATTTGGTATTGCAGTGCAGGTTCTTACCACTAGGCCACCAGAGCCCCGGAATCCATCCATAATTCTGTTTTTCTTTAGAACCTTCTAGAGCCTGACACTTTTAACTTACGTCTCTTTTTCTATTACTTTCTTTTTCTTAATTAATTTGACTGAAAGTTTACAGAGACTTAGGGTTTCCAGTCATTCACTGTTGCACATTTCTCTGTGCCTACCTCCTTCCCCCCAATTCACTCTTCTCCTTGAAAAAGAAAAGAAAAACTCTTTCATTGTTCTTCAGTCCCTTCCCCCAAGTCCACTCCACTGTGCAGCCTTCATTCTGGACTCCTGTCATGACAATAATACCTAACCATATATCCCTTTTAAACAGTCCCTTATCTGTTTGAGTGCAGTGTACATCATTCCTCCCCTCCTGCTCTGTCTTCCCTCAATCCCAATGTCAGCCCTGTTTTACAACTTTCTATTACTTCTGTTTTTCTTAATTGCCATCAAGTCAACCATACATAGGAACCTTATCAACAACAGACCTGAACCTGGCCCTAGCCTGTGCCATCCTTATGATCTCTGATATACTCCAGCCCATTGGTATAGTTGCTGGGTCAACCTATCTCATTGAGGGTCTTCCTCTCTTTCGCTGACCCTCCAACTTTTCCAGCATGAAGTCTCTCTCCACACACTGGGTCCTACGCCCCAAGTGAATGAGACCAAGTTTCCCTATTCGTATCTCTAAGGAGCACTCTGGTTGCATTTCTTCAGGATAGATTTGTTTGTTCACCTTTAATGTCAGCATTCCAGAATTTTAGTGTTAAACTGAGCACACACACACACACACACATACATTGTTGTTGTTACGTGCCGTCGAGTCACCCGCGACTCATAGCGACCCTATGTACAACAGCCCTAAACTCCGCTCTGTCCTGTGCCAATCGCACTGTCTCTGACACTCCCATCCCAATGATCCCAGTCACTGAATCAATCCACCTCATAGAGGGCCTTCCTCTCCTGCGCCGTCCCTCCACCCTCCCAAGCAGGATGTCCCTCTCTAAGGACCGGTCTCTCCTCACAACATGTCCAAAGTAAGTTAGACGGAGCCTCAGAATCCTTGCCTCCAAGGAGCCACCCGATTTAACCCTCTCCAGGACGAATCTGTTTGTTTTCCTAGCAGTCCATGATATTCTCAATACTCTTCTCCAGCACCACAGCTCAAAGGCATCAATTCTCCTTCTGTCCTCCTTGGTCATTGTCCAACTCTCTGATGCATAACAGGTGATTGTGAAGACCATGGCCTGTATCAGACGCACCTTAGTCTCCAGAGAGACACCACTGCTCTTCAGCACTTTGGAGAGGTCCCTAACAGCAGACTTTGCCATGGCAATACGCCTTTTAATTTCCTGGCTGCTGGTGCCAAGACTGTTGACTATGGAGCCAAGCAAACTAAAGCTGTGAACAATCTCAATCCCTTCACCATCCATCCTGATGCTGCCAATTGGTCCAGTGGTGAGAATCTTTGTCTTCTTGACATTGAGCCTCAATCCATATTGTAGGCTGCAGTCCTTGACACTCTGCAGCAGGCGCTTCAGGTCCTCCTCAGTTTCAGCAAGCAGGGTTGTGTCATCCGCATAACGCAGATTGTTGATAAATCGTGCACCAGTCTTGACCCCACATTTCTCCTCATAGAGCCCAGCCTCCCGGATAATCTGTTCTGCATATAGGTTGAAAAGGTATGGAGATAGGATGCATCCCTGGCATACGCCCTTCCCAATTTTGAACCATGCAGTGTTCCCTTGCTCTGTTCTGACGACTGCCTCCTGGTCCAAGTATAAGTTTCGCATTAGAACAATCAAGTGTTCTGGGATTCCCATTCTTCTCAGAGTCAGCCACAGTTTGTTATGATCTACACAGTCAAATGCCTTTGCATAGTCAATGAAACACAGATAGACAGTCCTCTGGTATTCCCTGCTTTCAGCCAAGAGCCATCTAACATCAGCTACAATATCTCTAGTACCACGACCCCTTCTGAAACCAGCCGGGACTTCTGGTAGTTCTCTGTTGATGTGCTGTTCCAGTCGTTTTTGGATAATCTTCAGTAAAATCTTGCTTGCATGTGAAATCAGTGAAATTGTTCTGTAGTTTCCACATTTGGTTGGGTCGCCTTTCTTTGGGATAGGAACAAATATTGATCTCTTCCAGTCAGTTGGCCAAGTGCACACATACATACATATACATAAACATATGTGCTTCCATCATTCATTCACTGAGAATTACTTGGGCTTAACTTAAGCCTTGAGAGTTATTCTTATTGCTGTTCCCTCCCTTTTCTACTAGTTTCTTTAAAAAATTCGAATACATCTAATTTTCAAAAACAAATTCTTTCCATTTCCCTCACCCCGCCCCCCATCAAATTGTACAGGCCCATGATAATGCGTGTTACTTCCTCATATTTGGTACTTACTGGAGTTTATAACTTAAAGACTCATTAATTTTCACTTTGAAAAAATGGACTGCCTTTTCTTTTATTGTTTTCTCACATCCATTTTCTTTATTCTGGCCACATAGAATATGTAGTTGGTAGTGTATGGGGAATTTTTTTTGTCAACTCTTTAGAACGTTTGTTTTTCCTCACACAGCTCTCATATCTTATTTTTTTTTTAACCTCTGCAATCTTACATTTTTTCATGGTTTTAACTTCCTAGTCTAGGAAGCTCTGACGGCCCAATGGCGAGTGAACATTACTACATTTTTACAACACCTCATCTCAGGTGGCCCAGTGGGTAAGGAGATGTACAACCACCACAGAGACAAGAGCTCTGAATCTACCAGCTGTGCCTTGCGAGCCAGAGGGGCAATCTCCTCCTGTGCCATTTACAACCTCGGAAAACCTGGTGGAAGGTCAGCTATGAGTTCTCACTTCATGGCAGTGAATTGTTAAGAGTTGAGTCACGTATTTGTGCCCAGCGATGTTCTTTCTGTCATTTGGCACAATAATAATGAGCAATTTTAAAGGAAAAACACAGTTTCTGTAGGAAGCCATCCTGAGGAGATCTTAGCTTTGCTACATATAACACTCCTGACATGCAGCCCTACCCTGTCCATCTCTGACTGACTACGCCTACCTCTTTACCTGTAAATCAACACCTTGGGGCATGCCCCTCCCTCTCTATTGTAAACTGATAGCCTAGGGCTGGGTTCCCTGGCAGCCCAGCCTCCTCAGCTGCCTATTTATTGCAGAATTCTGTGAATAAACTTTGAGGCTTGATCAGAGAACTTTGACTTGCCTCCTTTCTTGTGTTCCTGTCCCTCTCCCCCTCTCAATCCACACATAGCCCTCTCTAGAACACGTGTGAACCTGCAGGTCAGTTTCAAGTTTCCAAGAGTTATTTATCATTTCCTGCAGGTTTTGTTTTCACTGTTAATTTTCTGTTGTTGTTGACTGCCTTCAAGTTGAGCATGACTCATAGTGGCCCTACGAACAAAAGGCCTGAAGCTCCTCTATGACTATCAGCATTTATCAAAGTTCATAGAGTTTCTGGAAGCATGTTGTTTAGGAAGTGGATGCCACTCCTGCTTCCAAACCTGTCATAGTATGTTATTGTTGTTATGTGCCTTTGAGTCATCTGCGATGTGTAGTGGCCATACATACAGCAGCTCTGAACCCTTTCCTGCCCTGAACGAGTCTCACTAACTCTGATACACCAACCCCCATTGCTCCACTTACAGTATCAATCCATCTTATTTTGTTATGGATATATTATTACAACAGATCTTACTGAAGAGATTACATTTTTTACAAAAATATTTTTTCTCTTTAAGGTATTTATTTCCTCCAGGATTAGTCTGCTTCTTATCTTACCACCTGTTCCCATCAAGGCATTTTCTTAGTTGTCTCTGTGCTGATGAATGACAATGAAGGTGGACGTGTGTATAACTGGATGCCTGTCTCTGCTATGATTTACATCAATATTTGCAGTGAGTTTTCTTCTTAAGAGGATGATCATGAGTTCTGTTGGAGAGCACAGGGTGCATCCGTTGGCACTTTTGTTTTTAGATTCTTGAAAAATGCACATGGTCTGAGTTTCCTACCACTGACTGCTGTCTGAGGAGGCTTCTTTAACTGCTTCCCCGGGTCAGTTCACTCTCCTGCTAAGTCAAGTTGCCTTTCCTTTTCCCTTTTCAGTCTGAGAGGTGCAGAATTCTTTCAACTTGATTCTGCTTCTCCTTCAGGCTTCTGTGTCCCCATGAAAACCTTCCTCAGGCACTGTCTCCCATTCTTAGGAGTACACTTTGTTTAGTGCTGGAGTCAGACAGCATTGTCCCTCTGAGGCTGTGGAGAAACTGGAACCCTTATTCACTCTTGGTGGGAGTGTAAAATGGTGCAACCACTGTGGAAGGCTGTACGGCACTTTCTAAAAAAGTTGCAAATAGAAATACCATTTGACCCAGCATT